CCAAAAATGAGAATTGGCGTTTTTCTTCAGAACCATCGGGTGTATCACAGAACCAAAATTATCCTGCGAAACCCCTTCGCCCCAGCTGTGAGATGAGCTCATCAGAACCGCCATGCTCCACATCACGCCTTCTCACGGGCGCAAAAAGCGATTCGTGCTGGTTTCGACCTGATTTCTCGCGATGCTGGCTACCTCGGCGATGCCGAGGACATACAGCTTGAGCAACAGCTCATTCGAAAGCTGCTGTAAAGACCTACAGCACTGTCAACTTTTTTGGGGGGAGTTGCAAAGGCGTGGTTTGCTTTCTAAAAACAAAGGCCTATTCTCATTTTTGGATACGTTCCCATTTTTCCCGTAAGTCTGTTTCTAGGTGGGCCGCCACATGTATGTCCACCTCGTGGGGTAAAGGGGTTCCCTGACACCTACCACGAGACAGAACTGCGCGAGATGTCTTGAGTTCTAAGCAGAAATGAAAACACCTGGTGGGAGAAGCACGTTATGCAGTATGTGCCTACTCAACGTGGCCAGGTCAATCGGCCTCTCGGGAAGAAGTCCTGAGTTGTAGGAACAATAGATACACACACTGGAAACTACCCATGCGAAATATAGTCTACCCACAGTCAAACGGGATGTGGTGGAGTCTTTTCAGTGAGTGGGGAAAAAAACGGCTGGTTACTGGGCGACTTTCGAGTATGTTAACCTATTCACTGATGATTTATATCAGTGATACCAACTAGTGCTGATTACAGCAACATCTATCTGTATAGGTAGTGATGATTTATATTAGTAATACCAACTGGTGCTAAGTACAGCAACATCTTCTATCTGTATAGGTAACTTACATTATGACTCAAGTTTCACCACCACCCCAGGTGCGGTGGAATTATTTTTTTTACACAGGCTTTGAGTCTGCCGGTCGAATACAAAGTATAAGTGCCGACGGAAAAGTCCCGGTGCTTCGGGCGGGCACCGACTGAGTTTTGCTGGTCTGGTCCATACCGGCACTACGAGGGCCCGTTACGTACTAGAACTAGGGTGGTTCTTATCGATCCGTTCGTTCTTTTTTCACCGATTCGTAATTTATAACACGGAACCGGTTCCTCCGGGTTTTCCATTGGTTCTAATCGGCAGAGGCGCGCCTTTTTTTCAAAATCCCGGAAAGCGTCGATGCCGACGTACACACACCGGTCACGACCAGGCGAGAGGCCCGAGGCATACCACAGCAGACGCGATAAACCCACACCATGAACAACAACGCCGTAGCAGCGGCAGGCAGGCCATCTAGAGCGAAATCGTTGCCTCTGAGACTGCAGGATGCAGGTGAAAGTGGTGCTGCTGCTGGGCATGGGGTCGCCCAGACCGCGCCTGCTGGCGCGGCACAGCGGGCACCGAGCGGCATGGCCCGCCAGGCCGTTCACAGCAGGGTTAGCCCCCATACTGGTATACAACAGGGGATCCACCTGGCGCTGTGATGATGCCGGGCTTCTCGGACGACGCTGATCGGCAAGCTCGTCAGGCGGCCTTAGCAGAGGTTCTCAACGACAAGCGACGTGGCGACGCCCCACAAAAAATTGGACCGAGTCGGGGAGCTGCGACGACGACGACGAGGGGGGGGGCAGCCCGACGTCAAGTGGCAGCAGCAATGTGTCGGTAGAGGATAGTTCAGCTCCGTCGGACATTGGCTCACAGTCGGGAGATATCGTGTTCGAAAAGGGAATTCGGGAAGCAATGACCGGGGGAGGGGGAGCGGGCACGAGGACCACAAACCACGGCAAGCGGAAGGCGAGCGCCGTCGGCAGCGTCGTAGGGAAGNAGTTCAGCTCCGTCGGACATTGGCTCACAGTCGGGAGATGTCGTGTTCGAAAAGGGAATTCGGGAAGCAATGACCGGGGGAGGGGGAGCGGGCACGAGGACCACAAACCACGGCAAGCGGAAGGCGAGCGCCGTCGGCAGCGTCGTAGGGAAGAACAAAGCAGCAGCATGTCATCACGCGAAAGCCAAAAAAGCCCGGGGCAAGGACTACGCGCACTGGGCCACACACTTTCTGAAGCGGACATGCGCGCACCGCAAGATCCCGAGGATGTCGCAGAAGCAAGGATGTCCTGATGGCGGCCCTGCGATCTCTCGACGCCAACATGAAACGGCCATCTCCGCACTTCGACGNGCACCGCAAGATCCCGAGGATGTCGCAGAAGAGCAAGGGTGTCCTGGTGGCGGCCCTGCGATCTCTCGACGCCAACATGAAACGGCCATCTCCGTACTTCGACGACCTCGATGCTATCGCAGCCGGTGAGATGCTGGTATTGTGTAGATTCGTCGTCGATTAGAGTCTCAGCAGACGACACAGAGTATCGACAAAAAATAGGTAGTTACTCTGCAATTGAACGCAGTGTGCGCAGAGGAAACACAACAAAATTACTGCTGTGTGTGTGTAGTGCCCGCTTCAAATCAACCTATTTGTACAGTAGCAGATAAATTACGGCATGCTCGAGAGCTGTTTTATTTGCCACAGTAGGTAGGATATTGTGGGCACTCACAGCGTACCACACGGCATGCTTTCTTGACGTTATTCAATCGGTGGTGCACCGACCAATACGGTAAATCTTTGGGTGTTCTGTCCTCTCACGCCCAGAGGAAGTAAGGTAAGGTGAACGATGTTTTGTGGAGGACAGTCATTAGGAATATGTAGTTTTGCCAAACTTGGGCGTGTACATCTGAGGCTTCCTCTCATGCGAAGGCGTATTCATTGTCTGGGCCGCTTTCTCATATCCGGGAATTCGCGCAGGCAAAGCTGGACGCGGCAGCGAGCAGGAGAAGGGGAGGAGGAGGGAGCCATCCCTGCGAAAGCGCTGCTTATGTTTCGAGGTGTTGTCAACATGGTCGCCCTAGCACGTGACAGAACTGAACCGTTTACAGTCGAGGGTGTGGACTACAGTGTGGCGGACCTTTACGACGCCATGGAGAAGGAAGACAAACCGGAACTGGAGGATTCTGCTGGCGGGAGTTCGTCGACGGGTGGTGCAGCCGGACCGGACGGGGGGTGGTTCCGCCGGAGGGAGTGGCACCATCACGGAGCGCAAGGGGCCCACACTACATGATGTGGCTCGTTGGGATCCTGTGCGAAGACTCCATCCGCCCATGTGTCATCATCAACAGCCGCTTGCAGGCAACCCGGCAGGAGCTGGACACCTCAGCAGTTGGGCCGCGGAAACATTTGTGGACAGAGGTCACCGACCGCTTCCGAGACCCTCGCCACAATGTGCGTGCTGGGGGTTGGGGGTTGATTAGTACGGGTTGGACGAGAACGTTGTACAAAAACAGCAGTCGAAGTGTATGTTGACAGCACATACCGTTTATTGATAGTTATTTTTAGGCATGGTACTCAAAACCTCATTGCGTCCACGGACGATCGCGACATCGTTTTAGGTAAAATGTCATTAGGTATCCAACCCCAAAAGCGGGTCAACCTGCTGTTGACGTCTACCGGTAACTTATGTGTGCCGATCCTACTTCAGCGTGTAAGTGCTGCCACGGTCGGAGTTTTGATATTGCATTTGGAGTGGTCGACAGTGTTGTAAAACGTACTCCCGGGATGACGTACGCATTGATGCCTGATTGAAAAGGATTGCCTGCACCATGAATTTTGATCGTGTATTTTGAAGCAAGACCAAACACCTTACCAATTGCTTCAAACAGACCACTCCCCGCCCGCGCTTTGCGCTTTGTTTTTTTTTACAGGGGACACGGATACGTACATTCTCGGTTGCGCAATCGAGAAATACCCCGAGCTTGACCAAGTGGGCAACAATCTCATCCCGGAGGACGCTCAGCGAGAGGACGACGGGACCGGAGANATTCTCGGTTGCGCAATCGAGAAATACCCCGAGCTTGACCAAGTGGGCAACAATCTCATCCCGGAGGACGCTCAGCGAGAGGACGACGGGACCGGAGAGAGCGATGGCTGTACAGGCGGTGCCGAGCGCCGGGCGGCCACCAAGTGGGAGGGCGCGAGGCTCTACGAGCAGAACAGGCGGGGGACGAAGCAGAAGAAGAAGGGGGGAAGGCAGAGCGTGGCAGAGGCTACGTCCGTTGCCATGAAATCCGCACTCTTAGATGTTGAGCCGCTCCTGCCACGTGGCGGATCGGAGAAATCTGAGTGGCAACAAGAGGAAGAGGAAAGCAAGTCTGCTGCCCTGNCGAGAGGACGACGGGACCGGAGAGAGCGATGGCTGTACAGGCGGTGCCGAGCGCCGGGCGGCCACCAAGTGGGAGGGCGCGAGGCTCTACGAGCAGAACAGGCGGGGGACGAAGCAGAAGAAGAAGGGGGGAAGGCAGAGCGTGGCAGAGGCTACGTCCGTTGCCATGAAATCCGCACTCTTAGATGTTGAGCCGCTCCTGCCACGTGGCGGATCGGAGAAATCTGAGTGGCAACAAGAGGAAGAGGAAAGCAAGTCTGCTGCCCTGGATACCAAGGCTGCTGAATACGCTCTGCAGAAAGCAATGTGCGCCGACCACCAGAAATATTCGGAGCAGATTGTGGAAGAAGAGGGAAAAATGCGGCCGGGTTACAAGACGAGAGTAAAATTCATGGAACAAATGGTAGCAAAGCTCGAGAAGGTGATGTTTGGCGGTCAATAGCACCCACATGCACTGCTGGACTTGCTTGCTTCCGTGCAATCGTCGAAGTGGAAGCGTGTGGGCGTGTGCTCCCGTCATGCATGAGTCACCATTGTTTTTCGTAGCGGTGAGCACCGAGGATACGTGCGACTATGCAAATACGTGTGGGTTTGGTTGGCAACAGCACTTGAGAGGATGCCTTGCGGCAACAAAGGAGTATGAAGGATAACAGAAGAACGCCGAGACCGTTGTGGTCCACGGGCAAGCTGCTGTGCCGGCAGTAAACGAACACAAGGGTGTTTTTTTCTTTCCCACTCTCACGGCAAGGCTTCCTTGTTGCGAGGGCCGTGGCTATTTTTTTGTTCTGGTTTCGGGGGGGGGAGACTTTTTTTTTTTGCGCATGGTTGAGTCAGTGCCGACAGTAAACGAACCCGATTTTTTTTTTTTTTTTCCACTCTCACGGCAAGGCTTGCTTCTTGCGAAGGCCGTGGATATTTTTTTTGTTGTGGTTTCGGGGGGGTGGGTATTTTTTTTGTTTGCGCATGGTTGAGTCAGTGCCAGCAGTAAACGAACCCGAGGGTGTTTTTGTTTTTCNACTGCCTCGAGGGTGCTTGACCATTTTAACACAACGTGGTACGATCATCCCCCTTGCGCGGAGTGAGGGTTCTCCACCCCGCACAACATGCACCATCATGGTTACCGCCAAAAAAAAAACACAAGTAAAAAACAAAATAGTAACCTGGTTGCCGAGTTCACGAAGTGATTTGGCTTTTTTTACAACGTCGTTGCCAAGCGACGAAA